TGCATTCGTCTCTTCGTCTCCAGGAGACAGTTCCAGCCAGAGATGCCAGAAGCAACCATCATATGCTTTCGTACGCGCAAGACGGGAATAAACCATATATTACAGAAGGAGGTTGGATGGTGTGTGGGAAAGCCAGGGTACCTGAATTGAGCGATTCTGCGACCAGGAGAAAGCACAGAGGAGCATGGAGTATGGAGCAGAGACAACGAAGCCAAAGGGACGTTTGTGTTGTTACATCTACAAGGCCCCCAAACGGTTCAAAGATTGCGCTAGCCCTGCGATGAGGCAAGGTAACCATGCAAAGCTGCTAATGGCAGCGGAGACAACGACTCCACGAGACGGGGCAGCATGGGGGGTCGCAAAGGCTCTGCGGGTCCACGACTTTCAGCGTTGGGCGTCATGTAAAGTTCCGGCATCATGGTTGACTCTTTAGATGAACTTTTTGCCCTTTTCAGCCATCGGGTGGCTGGGCTGGGCGCTTGGAGATGTCGTGGACCGTGACGAAAGTACCCAAATGCCAAATCCCATAGGGCATGCATGATTAAGGCATCGGTTTGGTCGGTTTGTGCCAGCCCTTGGAGGTCCCTTGGAGGGCCAAGCAAAGGCAACAAAGGACAACATGGCGAGTTCAAGAACCGTGCTGATGTCAAACCAATCTATGTATGGATTAGTAGTAGTCTATTGGAGGCATGGATGAGGAAAGAACAGGCCTCCCGTGATATTGCATAGTCGTGTATTTTGCAGCAGACGAAATTCCCGAAGGGACGGGGCTTAGAACAAGACTCCTGGCGGAGTAGGAGAGAGCGTAAGCAAAACCCACGATGTGTAGTTCATCATCGAGTTAATATGTATATCATGATCGGTGAAACTCTCCTAAGGCCAGCGTGCAGTTCGGAGCAGATGTGCTGTAGAAATGGGTCCGGACTGTGGGCTGATTGGAAGCTGCGAAATGTGCGTCTGGCCTTGGGCAGATTCGGGTCTGTGTGAGTCTCGTCGTCATGCCGCCAAGTGCTCCAAGTGCGCCCCGAGTCTCCGTCTCCAGGACTTCAATGTTCAATGTTGCCCTTGCCCTGCCTGTTCCCCCCCCCTCCCCCCGATTGCTCAGCTTGCCAGCCTAGGTAGGTACCTAGTACCTAGTACCTAGTACCTTGTAGGTAGCGGTAGCTCTTGCCTTTCATGTTGTCAGCCAGTGACATTACTGTACGCCTAGTACAAGTACGTACTGTACTTGCCGGGTGGCCCCCCGTGCCTTCCCTTGCCAGGTTGGCACTAATGGGAATTCACGGTCCTTGTCGCCAATTCCGGTCTAGCGGCCTGAAACGGTCGCTTCGAGCCTTCCAATGTTCCTAATTCCCCGTCCAAGGCTTCTTGGCTTCATCTGGGCTTCGCGACTGGCGCTCGTGCCACCAATTTGGAACGCCTCTTTGTCGCCTCCCACCCATTGACGCCCCCGTTTGCTGCGTCTCAAGTCTCAACCCACCCAGAGTCGCGCAAAGTCGCACAATGTCTCGCAGATTGTTCACAGAGTCGACCTGCAGTCCAGATGCATATTGTGCAACACCATCTATCATCGACAACTCCGCACACCTCTAACGAAGTCGACCGCTGCTCCGATATCTGGTGCCGTCACCACACGCCCACCGCTGCGACAGACGAGGCCAGAGTTCTAGCTGTTCAGGGATAACTGAATGCATTTCGCTCAGCCGTGGTCTGAACAATTCGGTTCTTCAGGCAATCAGCTGAAACGTCATGTCCAACAGTGACCGGCCTTGGTACATAGATGATGCTCGAGTCAGAGCGGGAACGACTGGCCATCCCACTTGCTCTGGACATGAGAATCGGAGGTCAAGTGGGCTCAAGTGGCGACTGTCACATTCCTTTTCCTCACCTGGTGCCCTATCGTATCTGTCCCTTTCCGTCATGAGGGGTTCCTGACTGGTGGTTGTGCTAGCAACACGCCCAACTGCCGTGGGCCTGAATTTGATACCTGGAGTGCTTTTTCCTCGTTCAGCCCGTCACATTTGGGACAAAGGTTCAGATGACATGCTTTGTCTGTGCAAAAGGATATCGGAAATACTAGTCTCAGTGCCCCTGCACAACAACTGCTGTTGAGGTTGAGCCGTTGAATGACATGCCCAAGCCACAAGCATTATATCAAGAGCGCCAACAAAACATCGCTTATTGTGTCTCGGTGTCGAATAACTCGATTCGAGTGAAGCCAAGTTCTCTTGCCTTTATCTGCCGGTCCGGGTTCCTGAAGCCCGGTTTGAGCGAGCTCTCAACAAGACTAGAACTGCCTGGACAGCAACTGAGGGGACCCATGTAATGTACAAAGGTTATGAAGGGACCAACTAGCGGGCTTCAGGTACGCGGAGCTTGATTATCTATTTCATGTGTCCAATGACAATAAACCTGTCTTCGTGGGCGAGGTGATTGGCGTCCTGTCGTTATCCCATGCTAATCAGTCATGTTCTCGCCAGTCGTGACCCTTGTCATTAACACAAGACAGTATATAGGCCTTGAACTCACCGTCGGCCCCAGACCCCAACCATACAACATAAGTCCATGCCACTGTGCCACTGGTACGTATTTCTGCCCGGTCTCTCGCACACCATGTTCTCGTCTGAAGTGTGTACAGTACACGGATACCAAGCCCAACTAAAACTTACTTGGCCTTGCTCCTAGGTCCCGGCAATACCTGCATTACATGCCAGCCTCGTCCAGTCGGCCTACATACACCGTGGCTGGGACGAAACCCAGGCGCAAAGCTCGGGGAAACGGCAAACAGCATGTACGTCCACGCACGTTTTGGCCTAGCTGGTCTGCCGGCGGCCATAATTAGGTCGCCTTCACAACACGCATGGAGTACGGAGTCGCAGGCCGACGCCCACTCCACACACTCTATTGAGGCCCGTCTAGGATAGATGGTCCTTTCGGACCCAATCTTTTTTCCTCCCACTTTCATGTCGCCCTCACTGGATTTTCAGTCGTTGGGGCGTGGCAATGAGAGAGTCTATTTGTTCCTTCCCGGGTTGTCCTTGCTCTGTTTCTGCTTCTGTCTATCTCTGGAACGTCACACTCCACTCAGAATCAAAAGGCCCAAAGGGCAAAGAGCACTGGGTAAACGGCAGATGGGGGTCTGCAAGTAGAGAAGCTAATTCATGAGAAGCTGCTCCGGCGATCCGCGCTATAAATCACGGCAGCAAAGGTGACGAGAGTTGTGCCGGGTAGTTGTCTGGCGGCGGGCTGTTCATACATGGACATGACAGGGAACGGCTCCTTACCAGTTATTGTCTCGGTTTTATCTTCAGGGCAACCCGTCTCATCTGAACTAATAAGATTTCGGCTCCCGGATGTCATGTCCGAAGCGGCTCTTGACCCCATTGTCTGTGGTTCAAAGTCAAGGTGGTGCTGGACATCTAGGGGGCCGTTCCCGCCTTGGGTCACCCTTAACCATCCTGGAACCTTGAACTTGCTCACAGGGCTAGTCAATGAGTCTGTCTGCCTTTTTCAGGCTGTCTTCATGCCGGGGCCGCTTTTACTGGATCCATTGAGCCTCCCGCCAAGAGGGACGTCTTCGGACCTAACGCAAACTTGCTTCTTACGCCGTGAACGACTGCCCCTGGTGAGGTATGATGGAAATACGCATGATATTTCCTTTTCCCACCCCTGACATCTCAGTACCGGTGGTCCTGCAGGCTTATTGCATTGTTTCCAATGGACAGAAATCGAGCCAGGAAAGACGAGTTAGATTTAAAAGTCGATGGGTCAGGATCCGAACTCCGCACCGCTCCAAACCACATCAGACCCGTTTTGAGGCGCCTTACATGATGTCTGTTCGTCGAATCAGGGTTCATTCCGTCGGCTCCCGCATGTTCTCATCTGACTGAGTGCCGCCGAACAACTTGTCTTCTTCTAATTGCCCCAGCTCCCTGGCGCACTCGCAGTGTACAATAGCGAGAGAAGGAGGGGTGTGGGCTTTTGGGTGTGGAAGATGTTGCTTCTCTTGCCAGAAGAAGTTGATGGGCTTAGCTCTCTCATTCCATGCTTTGATCGGTCTATTCCCGTTTAATACCACGTTGTGCTTTTTCTCCACGAGCATAATAACGCACACTCGTCCAGACACATATTATTAAGGACAGTTGCGGGTTCTATCGCCTGACCCCTTTCCCTGCAGTTGTTTCGCCCGATGAGAGGGAGCTCCATCTAGCCACGTCCCCTGCGGAACCCGCCTTACATGTATGTATACATACGCAGGCTGCTGGCTTTAGTGCCGTTGTTTTCCACGGCGTGTTGTGGTATCTTTGTCCTTGGCCTCCAATGGTCTACTGGCCCCTGGTATGTACTTGGTTGCTGCTGTTGTTATTGTAGGGAGTCTTGGTATTCCTCCACACCGTCTTGCTTATCACCGCCACACGTTCCAGGCTCACATCTTCATCGCACAAAAATTCCGGGATCTGCTGTGCAGCTCGCCTCAAGTATCGTGCCTGTCCCTCTTCTGAGACCCAAGGGACGCAAATGCACAGTTCAACAACGGAACCAGTCAAAGACGAGGGCGGTACTAGCACATCTCTTCTCTAACCGCCTTTCTGTGACATGATCAATCCACTTGCTTAGTGGCAGATTTGCTGACCATACATTTCTGCAATTGGTCAATATTATGTTGTCGCGAGCCGGACGGGTGTGTGTGTGATACGGCCTTGTATTGTTTGCGCGTTCGCCTTCGACAGTTGGCCGCCTGTTAGTTTTTGCCGCTTTTTTCTCATCTTGCGCCAAAACTTTGCGGACGAACTGGAAGAAAAGCATCGCTACCAACTGTTTAGCCTCCTAGAGGGCTTGCTTTCTGCAATTTCACGTCTATCTGGTGGAGGAACGCGTACGACATAATAACGCAGCTTTTTGCTGATCGTGCCTTACTGCTCGTCCCCCCCGGCCTCATATTCGGGCCACATCCGTCAGAGACATCATTACCGTGGTTCATCGAGAACCACCCAGTCAACATGGCCAGCCAAGTCTCCAGTTGTCTGGATCTACCTTTCATGCAACCCCCGATTCACCATCACTCGGCACCAACGATACAGTATTTAGCCGGTGGCGAGCTTCCTATTGTTACGGAGGAGATACCGCAACAGCAGCAGCAGCAGCAGCAGCAACCACAAGTAAAGTACTATGGTGACTCTGAGCGGCAACTGACTCTACGTCAAGCTCCCATGCATGCTCGGGTGGCCGTTGGAAAAGAAAAAGGTCTGTAGTCTCTGGCTTCCAACGTACTCGGGAGATGATGTGCTGACGAGAGCACGAAACAATAGACAGAAAGCCAATAGACCCTCCACCGATTGTTCAGCTTATAGACAAGCGGACTGATGGGAAAAGTGGTCTCTACGATAGTAAGGCGTCATCGCAGCGCTTTCTCAGCTTTTAACAAAAGATTGCTAGTATTAACATTACCAACAGGCCCGTACCTGTTCATGACATCATCTCTACTGCCAGAAAACTATGACGAACATGCAAAAGGACCAGAGTTGCCTTCAAATTATTTAGTTGGATCTCTCGCATCATCTATCCATCGACTACGGGATACAGACAATATGGAGGGAGGATTCTTCGTGTTTGGAGACCTGTCTGTTAAGCAGGAAGGGCGGTACCGGCTGCGATTCACCTTATACGAAAGAGACCAAAACCATCCCACTCCGAGTTTCTGCTTTGTCGGAGAACTAATCACCAACGTGTTTACCGTTTTCCCAGCCAAGTTATTCCCCGGCATGACCGATTCGACTGCTCTGACGCGAACTTTTAGCGATCAAGGGGTCAAAGTTAGGCTTCGAAAAGACTCAAGCACTATGGCTGCACGTAAGCGAAGCAGACAAGCGAACGAATCGAGCACCACCTCCAACTCGCTTCTTGACCGCCAGCCAAAGCGTACATCTTATGATCGAGAAATTCCCTCGCTGAGTAACTACTCTTTATCTGACCTGGGACACATAGACTCAATAACAGGGAGTTCGAGTTTGGTCACCACAGCGTCACATAATCCAAACATGTTCTCCGTATCTGGGCCGCTGCCAAACTCAAGAGGGTCAGGTTTGGATTTGCATATACCGACAAGCGGCTACTATTTCGGTGGTCCCCAGTACTATTAATGATGCGATGGGTTTGCTCGATCGGGCGATTAAGTATCGCGGCGTGACGAACGGGGCGAACGACCAAGCAAGTGAACAATTGCACACCGGCCAACAAGGTGCACAATTCTTTAGGAAGCATTGCGTTTCGACTTGTTCAACTCAATTTTTCAAACATCTGACGGCTACTTTGCCACTTCAAGCTGATAGGATCAGATGCTTGTGAGCTTTAAGCCTTTGGGACCGGCTCTCTCAACATCAGCGTGGAGATTGTGTCAGAAGGCGCCCCCCCCCCCAATTTTCTCAGGTCAACGACCAACTTGCCAACCTCGCGCCATCCGTGCCTCTCGTACAGGTTACGACCCTCTTCTGAGGACTCCAGATACGCAGGCAATCCGAGACGATCGGCTTCCGTGGTGCCCCGTTTGAGCAGCAGAGACCCAGCTCCCCGTCTTTGATGCGTGGGGTCTGTATGCAGAAGCTTCAAGTCTAGGAAACAGCGGTGGTTAGCACCATGTGCTACATCTGGGCTGAGAAATGCCCAAGGTGCTTACAAATATGAGGCTTGCTACCCATCCTCTGAATCCACTCCCGCCTCATACCGCCGAAAAAAAGCTCACAAGCTTCTGGATTTGTGCCAGGCCCCCCCTGACGAGTAGGGGCTAAGGTGTCCCTGGGCTTTTCCCAGATATACCACTTGGAAAAAGCAATCATACCATCTTGCCCCTCAGCTTTCAGCTCCGTGTCTACTACCTTGGCCCAGCGACAGGCAGGGTCTTCTTCAAGCTGAAATATCAGCTTTTTTACACGTGAATCATCTCCGCCGGGTGGGAATGGCCCGGGAAATAAAGCCGCGCTATATGGGTTTGGGCCATATGCGAGGTCTTCTATTGCCACGGCACGGGCAGCATCCTCTGCACTCGCAGCGACTACTTTGAGAGGCATCGGTTCAGGCCACCGAGCATGCGAGGCTTTATACGACGAAGCACGACAGGCAAAGGCAGGGACGGAAAAGATCAAGAGCAGTTTGAGGGGAAGCGTGAAGAGTATCAGAGCAAAGTAGTCCAAAACCGCCGCTTTTGTATGTTTATGGGTTCATATTTATTAATGTTCTAGCTCCTTTTGAAAGTGGGACCAGATGCTTCTCGCTTCGGCGAGCCTGTTTGGGTAACTAAGTTGGCCTTAGATGGAGCCGGAAGCTGTACCATAAGAACACTCGAGGAATCTCGGCGCATGAAGCAGGAGAGGAATACTACCTGAATCTGCGCTTGCCGGGTGGCTGTATATTTCAAGTCGGTAATCATGGTGTCTATATCTGGATAAGGGGTGTCTGTGTGCCTGGGGTCGCTCAGGCCTGCTCCAACCCGGTGGCGCGGATTAATATGAGCAAGGACAAGACCAGCTAGGGATTTGGTCGTTTGAAGACTGGTGCGTCTATGTTGTAATTTGTAAACATCGTTTCATCCGTCAATTATGACTTTGTAGAGGCTTTTTGTAGGCCTCGACGGAAATGCCACTTAGTCGCCGACGGGTATAAGATGCGGGGCGGAAACACACTGTCTCTCTTACATAAGCAAGAAGCCAAGAATAGTGGAATCCCGCTTCCCCGAGTGTCATCCTCACAAGATGGATGCCGACAATCTCCAAAACAATTCTCTTCCGGCACAGAATCCTCCACCTACCCGCCTCACCTCTCGAGCGGCACGCAGCAATCGCCATAGAAATCAGCAGCTCAGCCTTCTTCCTCTGCGGGTATACTCGGCGATCTACCCCGAATTCGCAGCGAAGCGCATCTCACAGTTCGGCATTTACTCTGTCGGACACCATGGACCACGGACGCGATCCCTGCCCCTGGGTCATCTTCAATGATTTTGGCGGTGCTTTTTGCATGGGTGTAGGCTTCCCTAGATGAATTTTCTTTGCAAAGATCGGCTTTTCTCTGCGCGTGACTGGCTTGGGCTAATTTGAATCCCGGACCTTCAGGCCATCGGAGGCACCATTTGGCATGGTGTCAAAGGTTTCCGCAATTCTCCCTACGGCGAACGACGTATCGGCGCCATCACGGCTATAAAGATGCGCGCACCTGTTCTTGGCGGCAACTTTGGTGTCTGGGGTGGCCTCTTTTCGACATACGACTGCGCCATCAAGGGCATTCGCAAGAAGGAGGATCCGTACAACGCCATTATTGCTGGTTTCTTTGTCGGTGGCTCTCTTGCTTTTCGCGGTGGCTTCAAGGCAGCTCGCAACAATGCCATTGGCTGTGCAGTCCTGCTTGCTGTCATTGAGGGTGTTGGCATTGCCTTTTCCAAGATGTTGTCGGGTGGAACGAAACTGGAGATGCCGCAGCCCCCGCCTAGCATGGAGAAGGCTAGCTTGTAACAAGCCATGATGCGAGACGCAAGGAAATTGAAAAACAACTACGGCTTTCAAGAAGACTGCGGGGCGCGACGGAAGTTCTTGGAACGTCCGAGAGGTTTTGATGACTAGGAGTCCTTTGTGACTGTCGGTTTTACGATGACACGCGCCACTCTCATCTCTAATTCGCGACATGTTGTCCTAATTATTTTGGTTCAAATTTGGGAGTCCTTTTACAACGGTTCTGATTTGTCTTGCTTAGCGAACAGACAATGGCGGCCCCGTATGATGGAAACTGAACACGAGCTGTCTTGTTCGGTGGTCTCTCGTCGCAGCAAAGATGATGGATTAGGATTTGAAACGATAAGCTCGGGAGGTTTATGCATAATGCTATCTGACAACCAAATGTCTGCTTGGCTGTAGGTGGTGGAGGCTGATATGTATTCGCATTACATGGGCGTTACAGTGTGCACTATTCGGGAATGGGAACAACCGTTGAATACAAGAACAGAAAAAGTACAAGAAGCGTTTCTTCAGATCAAGTCAGAATCAGCCAACAGGCATGTAAGGCCAAAGAACAGTGGACACGAGGATGACTTTTAAATACTCTCTGGTATAAATGCATGTCAACTCACCCAATTTGACGGCTCGAGTTGAATAAGTCTATACACATGGCGCCAGCGCTCGTGCCACCAGTCTTTTACAAATCTACATCTCGATGAAACACGATGGGTCAATCATGCCCGGTTCTCAGGATCCTCACCGGTGTTGGTCCAAATACTCATCCTGGCCCTCCCTTGGTCATCAAGCCAAGCGCGATACATTCCCCCGCAGTTGTAATCCATGACAATCTCTGAACGGACGCTCACAAGGCGGCCACTCTTGGTATCCCTCTCCACGATGCTCTCAATACCAATCATGCCCCCCTCACCTTCACCAGCACGCCCCCATCTATCGCCCGCGCTGCGCTGCAACTCCCCACCGGGACCGACGACATTTGCCAAGGCCCTGGCCGTGCTTTCGGGCTTCCATCTCGCCATGGCGGCAACGGTTCGAGCGGCGCTGATGCGCAGGAAGGAGTCGCCGTTCCCGGTACCCGACGCACCCATGGCTCGAGAGACAACCGTCTCTCCACGCGGCCGGGACCAAGAGCCCCCACGGAGGGGAGAGTAGAGGAACGGCGTAGGGAGGCAGTCTGCCAACAGCCCCTTCAAGGGCCCTGCGAGCGAAAGACCGGGCGACGCAGTCCTCACGACGCTGGCGAGCCTCTCCCATGCCGAGAGCCCGGCAACACCGCTCTGCTCCCACTCCTCGGCCCAGAAGCCGGCTCCCACAACGGGCGTGTCGCCAATCCTCCCCGTCAACTTGTTCGTCATGCCGCCCGTGCTCGTCGCCGCGCAAACGATGCCGTCCTCGTCGAGGGCAACGGCCCCACAGGTGCCCTGCGGCAAATGCTCCTCGGCAGACCACGTCCCCTGCCCCAGACCCCGTCTCTCCCTCTCCAGCGCGCGGACATGCTCCTCCCACCGCTGCTGCGTAAAGAAGTAGCCCGGGTCGACCATGTCGAGGCCGTACCTGCGCGCGAGCTCCTCTGCCGCGGGGCCCCAGACCTGCGTGTGCCCCTGAGCAGAAGGAACATCGAGGCGGCGGCCCCGGTGGTCCGTGGCGGCGGCGCACGACGACGCCTGGCCCCCCGACCCGAGATCCTGGTCGCCGTGCTCGAGCATCCCCTTGGCGAGCAGGATGGGGTTGCGGACGTGGCGGAGGCCCATGACGCCCACGCCGCGCTTCTTGCGGCCGCGGGACACCATGACCGACGCCTCCAGCTCGTTGACGCCGTCGCGGGTGAAGACGGCGCCGTGCCCGCTGTTGAAGAGCGGGTTGTCCTCGAGGAGACGGACTGCATAGCAAGCAACGTCCAAGGCTGATGGCTTCTGAGACGCCTTGACGGGTGTGCTTATGTATTCGTTGGTTTTGGTGATCTGCAATTTTTTTACTTGGTTGGTCAGAAAGGGGTGGTGCGTGTGGAGGACAAAGTGGGAGGGAAAGTGAAGAAGAAGAAACAAACTATGGCGAGAAGCGCATCTCGATACGCATTATACTTGTCCTGCGGGAAGTTGGCGCGCACAATGTTGCCTGCGCCGCCGTGGATGACGATGCGAGGCTGCACCTTGGGTGTCTCGGACGGCGGGGGCTGCTTTTCGTACTGCATTGCTGAAACGACGCGGGGGGGGGGCGGGGAACAAACGCTCAAACGCTCAAAGATGCAAGATGCAAGATGCTAGAGTTGGACGGGGGAGGGGAGACGGTGAAGATGGGAGATGGTCAACTATATATGGACGCAGCCAAAGCGGTCGGGTGTTGATCCCCGCAATGCGGAGTTCCCACGGGGCGGAACGGCGCTTGGCGCTTGGCGACCTACCATTTCGGGAAGGTGGTAGGTAACCGACACGTGAAGGCGGCGGGTGTACCCATCCATGTCTTGCCGACTCTTATATATACATATTCATTCACCCTTGAAGCGGCACCATAAACGTGAGGACGGTGTGCAAGACGGACTGTCGAGCACGCCCCAAACTCATGTACAGCTAGGAGGAGTAATAAGAGTGTGTCGAGGACTTGTATTCGTAACGCACGTGGATACAAGGAGGCATAAGCAATTCCAAGACGGGTCATTAAATATATAAAATTACCATATAAAAAAGGGGGGTAAAAGAAGGGAAAAGATAGAAAATGGCACCACCAACATCCAACGTGTCATGCTTCCCTATGCGGGCGAGTCCCCGTGTGGCACCATAAAGCGCGGCATCACAGGACTATCCAAGTCGCCGTCTCGCAGCGGCGTCTCTGAACCCCCCTCGGCAACCAGTGTCGGCGAGTCCAACGCGTCGTAAATGTCCGACGACAAAGCCATCCCGATGCCGCTCATGTCATCCCCAGGGCTCGGCTCCGACCCGAGCGACAAGTAGGTCAAGTGGCTCGAGGGTTCGAGACTCATGGCCAAGCCGCCAGCACCAGAGCCGTCACGGTCGCCGCCCCCAACCTTCCTCGTCGGCCCAAATGCCGGAATCGCCTGCAGCGTGCGGTGCTTCTCGCCCGCGTGCCGCAGCCACGAGACGGTATCCTCGCCCAAGCCAGGGTTTCTCTCGTCCCGGCGTCTTCGCCAGCCAAAGTAAAACACGGCCGATATGATGCCCAGGCAGGCCACGGCTATGGAGACGCCGATGCCGGCCTTGGCTCCTGCTGACAGTTCCGAGCCGGGCGAGCTTGTCTCTTGGTCGCTTGTGGGAGACGTCGTGTTTGGCGTGCCCCTTGGCGAAGAGGGACTTGTGCTGCTGCCACTGCCGCCGCCGACCACGCCACCATCGGCTGTGCTCGCGGTTGAGGTCCGGGGAGCGGAGGTTGCCACGACGAGCTCAGATGGCCGTGACGGCAGAGGAGACGGCGGGTACGTATTGGGAATAACCGGGGGAACGCCCGTCCAGGTGCCGGGAGAGGCTCCTACTGTCGGAGGAACGGAGGAGCTTGCAGGCGCCGTCGTCGATATGCTACCCTCCGCCGCCGAAGGGGATGGCCGAGATGGACTCGAAGGGACTGCTGGGCTCGAGCCGCCGACAGAGCCAACGCCGTTCACAGTCGGACTCGATCCCGCAGCAGCACTGCTGGTGCTCTCCTGAAGGGACGTGACCGGGCTTCCCTTGACCGTCGTCATCTTCCTGCCGGAGCACTCACCGCGGAGCTCTCCAACCACATCGTCTAAGCCATGTGTGCAATGTCAACAACTCCTCTGCGCACATGGCGGATACCCGGCAAAGATACGCACCGGCTTTCACATTCGGGCAGCCGTTCCGAATACAGGCCCTCGACGCATCAGACGTCACCAGATCAAAGTTGTCGCATAAACAGTTCTTATCCCTCCCCGGACAAGTACTCTCCGCGAGACATCCCAGCGCGCAGGGGTCGTTCCATAATCCCGGTGCCGAGGCGAACATGGTTCCGTTCGAGGATGCCGCCGCGGCTGCGGCTGCGGCAAAGAGTGTCGCATACGCAGAAATCATTCCAATCATTATCTATCGTATTATCGAACGCGGCAAGAAGAGACGAAAAAAAGAAGAAGAAAAGGAAAGAAAAAAGAGAAAAAAAAATAATAAAGGAGGGTATTCAAAGGAGTGTGTGTGTCAAGCTCTTGCCCGTGTATTCATGACGTTGGAGCCGACCAACGCATGAAAATTCCCAACGTCACTCAGTTTGGAGTCGCACAAACCCAAAGACAGCATCGTGAAAAACTTCGATTGGCACAAGCAGGCCGAGATTCTTTCACAATACTTGCAGTCACGGACGACTTGCTCGCGCACTGACTTCATCTCCCCTCACCTGCGACGCCTCCCACCCTCCCACCGTTTGGCCAAAATGCCAATATGCCGTCCCTTCGTCCAAAGTCGGACACTAGTGTGCTGCCGAGGTGGACAAAGGCCATCGCGTCATGGGGTATGCCGCCATCAACCAGATGAAATAAAGGCAAATTGCATCACGGCCGTGCCCGGGAGGCCCTTGCTCTTTTCCCACGCGCCCATGGGGATCAAAAGGCGGCATGGCCCACGAGGCACGGATGACGCTCCCTCGCCGGCTTGGGCTTAGACTGGGAATTGGCCAGTCCAGCAATTTGTCGCATTATTGGGATCACCACGCGGTTTGCCAATGCCCCTTGCCATCTCGGCCGGCGCGGCGAATCATCCATTCATCCTGCTCCGGAGGCACGCAGACCATTCAGCTTGCCCACTATGCCGCACAGACAACAGACCGAGTAGCCATTATCGGGCGGTTCCCGAGTTTGACCTCTATTGTAAGGTTGGTATTAGCCTTATCAATTCCACCACCTAACTAATGGCCGCATCGTTCTGCCTATGTGTATATAGTCCCGGGGTATATCCATAAAATTGCCTTCATTCCCAATCCTCAGTCAGCACACTCGTGTCAATGCCTGCCAAAAGCCAACTACATGCCCATGTGTCGTCCGTCATATTGCCGTCCAAAATACTGCAAGTCATATGCAACGCCGTATGAGTTTCAAAGCCCAGCCGCCTTTCATACCCAAAACTCCTCCAATGCCACCAAATTTTCCTTGTTGGGGAACTCCCATTGCCCCAGTCAACTCATCTCCAATACAAACTGGAGCTGACAACCCTAGTCTCAAAGATAACTTTGAGAAAAACAAGGGGAAAGAAGAAAGAAGAAAGAAAAATAAAATAAAACAAACAAAACAAAACAAAAAGAAATGTGAGCCAAATAAAAGTGCATCAAGATATGACCCAGCTATTTTAGGCCGGCACTCCCGCCAACCCGGCCGCAATTTTGACCGCCTGGTTCACATGCTTTCGTCGAACACCAGGACTACGTCCCAAGCAAACCGAATTCTTCGATATTTCTATACTTATAATTAGCCTTCTGTATCAAATAGACCTGATAAAAATTGTCTGTTCCTACCTTGGATCAACAGGGACACATTGAGTCCAATCTTGGACTTGACAGCCCAGGCCATGGGTTGCGACCACATCTGGTTGGCCCCGGAATGTAGCATGAAGTTGGCCATCCCATGGTCATAGTCGCTCGCTTGTTCGTTTCCGTTTTCCCGTCCTCGCAGACCCATCGCAGGCTGTTGAGCCATGTCTACGGCGACTGGAAGGCCTGAAACGTCCGTCGACCCTGAGACAGGGCTATTGCTGTTGCTGGTCCAAGTCCCACTGTGATTGCTGCCCCCGTATCCGGAATCTGCAGTTGCAAATCCTGGTTGCTGTCCATTTGGCATCATGGCCGAGTCGCTGCTGGCTCTCGCCGAAGACCCATCACGGTCCAGGTCGACAAGGTCGACATCAGCCTCCACGTACTCGGCGCGCTGGGGAATGAAGATGCCCAGTTGGCGCAAATATGTTTCCACCTCATCTGGGTCGAAAAATTCGCCTTCGAATCCAGGCCACATCATCCGCATCTTATGGTCAATTCGCTCCTCACGAGTTGTTTGTACCTCGGGGCTGAATGGTCCCATTGATTGACCCGTCGTTCCTTGGGGTTTCCCATACGACCGTGTGCCTTGGTTCCCAACGGGCATGGCCACTGGGGCGCCGCCTGTCTCTTCGATCGACTGTTGCGGTGGGAAGAATGTACCGGCGCCGCCGAGGCTGGTGAATGGAAATCTCCAATGGCAGAGATCCTCATGTTGATTTCGGCTCAGTGCAAGCTGTAAACGCTTAATAATGGCCTCTTTCGACTCGAAAAACAAGCAAAATCCAAAGACGGCAGCAAACCTGTCTGGGGGCGGATTAGACATCAAGATGAGTCGCAGTCCATTTTCAGTTGTATGGCGCTGCAAGCGGCGACCAAACGTCAGTTCGTGTGAGGCGTAGGATGACGGCGGGGCTATCGAGGAGTAAGGCGAGTGGCCAGCAGGCAGGTTTGCATTGAAGCCGTCCTCGAGAGTGGGCTCCATCGAAGAATAGAACGGGAAAGTCGCATTATCCGGGGTCGCCGCCGTGACAACTTCGTAGTTGAGCGACGCAGGCACATGGATCATTGGCCCAGAGGTTGTAGCTACAGCTGTGCCAGGCAACCCACGAGTTCCAGTGGATGTCCCAAGAATGTTGGCTTGCTGTGGTGTGTCCAAGTGGAATCCGTTGTTTGGTGGCATGGCGGTGACAGCAGATGTTGTAGGCTGCACTGATTGCAGGTTTGGATGGTTTCCGCGATTAGAGACGGGATGTTCGTCACTGTCCTCCGAGCAGCTGCCCTCTCCGGGAGTACTTCTTGCCTTATCAGCAACCGTAGAAATCCGGTTGGCAATAGCCGATAACCGTTGGACAGCATGTGGCACGGCCTCAAGAGCACGCTCCGAGAGGAGAATATCGTAAAAATCATTGAACCCCTTGCTCATATCGTCGTTGGCCTTTTCAAGCTCCTTGACACGCTGCTCCAATGTTGTAATGGTAGTATCTTTACGATGCCTGTATGCTCGTTGAGCGAGGCGAATCTGTGTACGACGACGCTGTAAAGACTTGGTTAGTATCAACCTGACTTGCCCAACGCACATAAAGTATAATAGATAAAATATAATAGTAGCACCCAATAGCAAGGGCGATGGGGAGAGGGGGAACGGGAGTGGCTCACGTCGGCTGCTGTCTCGTCTTTAGTATCTAGCCTGGGCCTGCCTCTGGATCTCTTCTTGCGTCCGTCTTCTTCTGTTGTATCGGCATGTCCTGCCTTGACATCACTTTCATCTGATAATTTTGCCCGTTTGCCAGTTACCGGCAGACTACTCCCACTCTGGGCTGGGTTCCTCGCCATGGTCGACAAGGGGGCCGTGTTGGAAATGTAAGCAGTGTTCGGACCATACTGCTGAGCGTTTATCTTGGGTACATGACTTGAATTGTTCATTGGAATGTGATTGCAGCCAGCGCCAGTCGAGGAACGGTTGTCAAAAGACAGCGATTCCGGGACAATTGGAGCAGCAGTTGCCATGTGGTTCCAGTTTCCGGCCGCAGCCTCTGGGAGCAAAGGCGATACACAGAACACGTTACTGTTTGAACGAGGGCGTGCACTATGCCGTGAGGGTATTGGCGAAATGGAAGAGATATAGCAGTTGATGGTTCCGAAACAAGCCGTCACTAAGCTGGCGTGAGGACTGGAGGGAACGTCGCGACTGTTAGCCTAGATAGCTGCCCGTCTGAAACGCCATGCATGAGTTGAATGGGAAACCAAACGGCTGACAGACGAGTTCCTTGCTCAAGTCGAGAATGAGGGCTGAATGTGCGATGGCTAATGGTTAGAGTGGGGAGTGGCGGAGCGAACAAGGACAAGGCCAAGCACGGCTTTCTCGTACCCAGGCTGTAGGGACCTGGGGCGGGTAAATATTCAAATTGTAGAGGCGATGGAAGTGGTTTGTTGGATGAAACGACGTGGAGATGTACGAGCGGACATGGAGACGGACTTGGCACCCGGGGGGGAGTTGTAGAGAGCCGGGATGGACGACAGCTCAGGTCTGGTGGCCCACCAGTCGACCTAACCTTGATCGACCAGTTGAACCCGCACCCGAAGTCCGTCTCCATCTTGGTTCATGATTTGCCCCCTTCAGATGCCCACCAAGGATGGTCAGCCGGGAAGAATGAATCAAGGCTTCGACATTGTGCGCCAGGTCCCACGAGGTGTGTAGAGCCGTCCATCGTCCTTCATCCTCCTCCATCATCCAAGCCCAGCTAAACCAAACTAAACTATTGCCAGATGAATTCGGCGTCGCCCTCGCTCCACTCACAGCGTCACCAAGAAACAAGCCCTCTCTGGTGGGTATCCTTGTCGGGGTTGACGGCTTTAAGCTTTCTCAAATGGCGTTGGCAAGCAGCAAATAGCGAATGGCAACGCCATCCACACCAGACGGCGACAGGTATTGTGCAACCCACGAGCTAGCAGTGGACTCGGGAGCTAGAACTGAACTGCGAGACCATCAGAGATCGATCATGGAGCCCTTGTACCAAATGACCTCCTGTCCTTCTCGTCATTGCGCCGTCGATAACATGATCGAACGGCACTGATCTGAACCCTCGCGATGCGCTAGGCTTAGGCAGGGGCGCGAAAACCACAGACTTGTATTGTTTTGTTTTTTTTGTTGGCGAAGCTCGTGTCGTGATGCAACATCAATCTCATGCCATCCGCCTAGGACTCTCAGTTCCGTGAACATGAGCGTTCCAACAAGGCACAACAAGACATAAAAGCGACATGCAAGACCCCGGCGACGATTCACTTCGGAAGGGACTACGTAGTCCGTACGGAGAACATTGAAAAGTGTTAATATTACAGAGTGTTGGTTTCATTGCTGCAAGGCATTATCATTACTTCGTACGGCCTTCCCTGTCCAAACGGTCAACAAAGACCCGGTGGCCCTGGCAGATACAATATGATTGTCTGTCCTGGGTCGCACAGCTCGTTGAGACAACTTGGCAGAAAGGGGCAAATGCAGGGGTGTCTTGTTTGCTGGCTGCATAAGCTGCCCTGTCAAAAGCAACACCCATGAGTATATGTTTTGCCAGGGTATAGCGTTCATGAGGAGCGCAGAGTTGTAAGTGTAATTCCATGTGTTGGACAACCACGCGTCCCCGCTCCAAGTTTGCGCTCGAAGTCTGATGAAAGAAAGACAGTCTTTCAGTGGCAGATTCCGTCCATTGGAGTCACAATTCGAACTGGCCTTGCTCACTAGGCTTCTAAAATTCCTTAGTCGGCATGAGTGACAAATAGCACCAGCCCGACTTCTGAAGCTTTCCGGCCGGCACTTGCCATGATGTCTTGAAAACCCCGAGATGAATTCCTAACCCCCCGTGCCTTTCTTCCCTAGCCACGACGATGGGAATTGGCAATCAATGGCGAAGAAATCACGTCATAACATGCAGAAGCTATGATATGCTCATCCACCTTCAGTCCAGAGAGCACGCCGTCGCTTGTACGCCAATCCTCCAGTCCTCCAGTCCACTAGGCGAGTATACCGACATTCTTCGGATGATATAGCGTTTGGAGACCCCTTCGAATGCCAAGGCCTTCGTCCCATTGGTGGATCTTATACGGCCACACATTGAGAAAGAGGTCAGTTGGTGGGCCGTTCACGTCGCAAACACCTCCCACAAAGTCTCTTGGGGCTGCCGAGTGGCTGAAAGCCACGAGGAGGAGTTGGAGGGGGACCTTGGCAAATTGGCAAATTTGGGACCGTACTGAAAGACGGCATTTGGCCTCGGTCTCTGTGAAATCCCATCCCATACCAGACATGCGACATGGTTCCCGGCATTTGCCAGAAAAGCGACTTCAGATGCCCTATCCAATGCCAGGCACCAGGCACCACAGACTTCCCTTACCGGGTTACCCATTGGTGTCTCGCGTCCCCAAATCCAGAGTGCATGTACCTACAGATCACAGTTCTCAGTGCATGAAGGATTACGTAGAACGACTCATCACCGTCCCAGAGGAGCGGGTCGCAGAGCTGTAGCGGCAACAGCCAGTTGTTTCTATCTGTCCTCTGCTCGAACTTCGCTATTGGAAAACAAACCCGAGGCAGGCCCAGGCCCTCTAAATTCCGGTATAATGGGTGTCGCGCCTCGCGCTGTCAGTTAACCCCGGGGCATTTGCATCACGTCGCATTCAAATTGGAGCCGTTGGTAGCTTAGAGCTCGATGAGGTATCATTGTCAAGGGAGATCGATCGATCCCGCTTTCACCAATCGCCCTATACCTGATCTTGCGGAACGAGAACGGAACGAAGGCCGGAGCATCTGCGGCCGTTAATGTACAGCCGAAAATAGACAGCTTGTTGTAAATAGGCAATTTTTGAGGGAAGCTGGGCAAGTGGTCGACCTCCTTGAACATTGACCGTTACGTAGTGTCCGTCGAGATATCAATTCTGATGAAGCTATGTCCGCTCAGCCTCAACCTCTCTTGCTCCGCCTCGTCAGTGAGCTGACCTATGAAATGAATTCATAACTAGTTATGTACGGAGTAACTTGCTCCGTAGGTTGGACATATTACATGCAGCAACTCAGCCTCACTTGTACCAGGGTATGCCCGCTGCCCGCTGTAGGGTAGGGGGTCATTTCGTCGACAACTTGGTGCTCCTCCTTTCCCCAGACCAAGCCAACCTCCACAACCACAACACCAACCACAACCGCCTCGAACCCGCCGATTAGTCTTGGGCTTGCGCAAAGGCTAATAGCTCCCCGCATTTCTTGACAGTAGCAGCGGGCCGCAGCGGACCACCGAGTTGATTTGTTTTGGTTGCCAGGGAGCAGAATCATGGGTGATCGCGAAAATGGCTGGACAACAGTTGGCCATCGAATTCTGGGCCACGGCCATCAGCTTGGCACTGGCCGCGCGTGGATGATGCAGCAAGAGTTGACCGACCTTGAAGCTATTGCTGCGTGGGACAGTGATGTACAATGGCCCAGCATGTAAGAATGCCCTACCGGGATTACGTCCCGATGCGAATCTTGCGCCGTACTGACGTGATTCCGTGCGCAATATAGAAACAAGCCACTCTTCGATGGCCCCGAAGCCAAAAAGTTCGACAACAAACTGGTGAAGCTCCATGACTTGGATCAAGGCGCATTCGGCAGGGTTGACAAAGTTATGCACGGTTCAGTTTGCTTAGCAAGGAAGCGCATACCAAGACGCCGGGGGTTTTCCATTGACGACTTGCGCAAAGAAGGACTGATGATGCGCAAGTTGGATCACCGCCATGTGGTCAAGCTGGTTGCGACGTACGCTCCGAGGTCCCACGAATTGTGTCTTTTGATATGGCCGGCCGCTGTTTGCAACCTGGGTAGGTTGCTGGACGATATCGAAAGCCTGCGCTTGAATGAGGGAGACCGCGCAGACATTGTTGAACGCTTGACGGCTCTGGACCTTAGGGACTTGAGCGCAATTGATCCAGTGGCCAAAGATCAATATTTGACGCCGATATCTGAGTCGTGCCCCTTTGACTTTTTGCGCACAATTATTGGCTGTGTGGCTCGCGCAATGGCGCATTGCCATGCGAACAACGTCCGACATCTTGATATCAAGCCGTCCAACATTCTATTGCGTCCAGATCGAGTCTACTTGGCAGACTTTGGCATCTCTCGAGATGTCACTGGCCAGGAGCAAACAACAACAGATGGTATGCCTGGTACTGAACGATGGCGAGCCCCTGAATTATACGGGGAACATGGCTCCAGCATGCAGCTGTCAGATATGTATTCACTCGGCCTAGTATACCTCAATATTGCGACCGTTTTATACGACGCAAGATTGGCGGATTTTGACGACGCTCTAAGCTACTCGGGAAGATTATCCCGTGAAGAACAATTACGGCTCAGGGAAGACAAAGTCAAGATGCACCTGGATCGACTTACAGCCCACGCCTTGGTCAGGCCACCGTTTATGTTTACCTATGAAGGGCAAGAGACAGTGCGGCCACGGCCACTAACACACCTCATATCCCGCATGGTGGCTACCAACCCAAGATACAGATTCACAGCTGCGAAAGTCGATGAAAAACTGTCTATGCTCGGTGGGATTAACCAGATATACCACGCTGACTGCTGCAAGAGGCCCATATCCTGGGTTGAGGACAAGTGGGATAGGAAGTTTGGCGGCCTCATTGCCCTGCAGAAGGAAAATGAAGCACAGCGGAAGAGAATCATGGAGCTGGAGGGCAAAGATCAGACGTACGAAACTAGACTGGAGAAACAACGGCAGAAACATGAACAAGACATTTCAAGATTGCAAACGCTGCTCAAGAACGCAGAGGAGAAGTGTCAGAGGCTGGAATCCGAGACGACAGACCGTCGCAGGATATCGCACAGCTCGCGAGGATCTCATGGCCATGATGTCCCGCGGCCAGTTTTTTCGGGTGGGCGAAGGCAGCCAGCTGGATCTGCAACGACGCAAGGTGTTGGACTAGGGTTGAACAGGTCTAGTTTGACTGCACCGAAAACAACGGTTGCTAAACCCCCTCCGCAGCAAATCCAACAGCGCTCCCAGTCGATCCCAAGTACTCCTTCAGAGCGTCCCACACAGAAGATGCGAACGCTTCAGAGCAGCCCAGCCGTGACACAGTCATCAAATGCCAAATCCCTGGCCGGTCAGCGCTCGCCCAGCATCGGCGGTAACCCGGCAGGTTATGCTCTACGCTCGCGGGGATCGGGGTCCAAACTCCCTTTGCCTGTCACACCGAGCCGTAGCAACACGCCCGTAACGCCCGTATTCAACCGCGACCAGAGCATGACGGATAGTAGTATGGCTTCGTCTGTCTTTTCTCGAAAGAGTCTCGAGACACTTCCTACTCCACCGGCTCATGATAGCCCCATAACACAGCGTGCAGATGTGTCTAGTGAGAACGCGCAGCCTCAATGGGGCCAGCTCGGGGGCAGACGTGTGCCTCCTGTGACTGATGACACAGTTCTGAGGCCCTCTACACCGGACTGCCCGGTGCCGTCCATGTCACCGTCTGCCATGTCATCTCCACGAACGCCCAGATCAGATATTCTTATAGATGGCGGCGATGCGAACGCCACTTCAAGGCCTCCTCCTCCGTCATTGCAGCCTATGAAGAGCTGGGCTGATGTGGCCAAATCGGAAAAGAAACGGCAAGCCGCGCAGAAGTAGAGCTTATACGACGAAGATTTTGGAACAATAAAAATCAAAGAGGAGGAGATATTGGGTTGAGACGGATTATGATACCAAAAAGTTTAGACGCTCATATTGTTTTCAGCGCACAGTTGATACTGTCCAAATTTACATAGCAGGCTAGAAAATGACGAGTCCTTTATGCTCTGTTTATTATACAAACAATCGGTGCTTAAATGTCAAAGATTCTATATTCGAGCGCCAGAGAATGATGTCGTGACTGTACTAGTCGCCGAGGAGGCTATACTTTGCTAGCCGCCCCTTTACCAGCCCATTTCAACAGCCGGCTGCTCTGAGCCCGCACCAACGCATTCCACGCAGGTTCTGTAAATGGGTCGACAGACTTTCCCGTCCCACCCCTTTGTTGACGATGCATTTGCTTGGCAAGGACGGCGGGGATAGATGCCATCAGGGGATAAGGGCGGGCCGGATAAACGTCGACATTCGGCGGCGTATCCAGGTTACGCGAGCTCGGCATATTTCCAGCCTTCAATGGGCCTTTCTGCAAAGACTCCGGATTCACAGCATCCTCCCGTCTCAGTTGTGTCCTCTGCTCTTCAACAACTTGGTGCAGCGCCTCGCCCCGCGCGTTCCAATCCCTCCACATCCTCTCAACCTGCCACTCCCACCATAATCTCGTCACTTGAACACTCCATGCAAAAGAGCTCTCGGAAACCTTTTGCCCACTCCCGTTGGCGCAAAAGCGCTCAGACTCACCACTCACTCGCTCGGCCTGCATCTGCTTCGCCATGAGTTCATCCCACCGGTCCTCCTGCGCGGCATCCCAGCGCAGTTCCCCGTCTGCTTCGACCAGCTTGCGTATCTTCTTGGCGAATATGCGCCCTTTTCGACCAATCATTCTGGAGAGTGCTTTTGGCTGGGGCTTTTTCAGGCGCAGGAAGGGCTGGCCGTCTGCTGTGGCGGAGACGGACGGAAGGCGGTGCCTGAAAGTATGCGGGATGTAAGTTGGCTTGTAGACAGGGTGCCCGGCATCATGCCCGGCCACCTTTTTGAGAAACGGCTCACGGTGCCGTCGGGCGGTGTGCTTTGGCTTGGAGTGTGACGGGGTAAGGTCGCCGCGAAGGCGAAGATGCTCTATGAGCTGGGTGTGCTCCGGGCATCCTCGCTTTTGCGCCGTGAGTAAGAGCGATAGGAGCTTTGCGCGTTTTGTCAGCCAGCTGAATCATGTCCTGGGGTGAGAAGAGGGCGTTGCTGATGCGGGTTACCTTGTATCCTGCCGCCATGGAAGCATACACCAATCTGTAGCTTGTATATGCCCGATTCCTGACGAATGCCTTCTTGACGGCATGTGTCATGGCGTCCCTTGCAGGTCTCTGCGCATCTTGAGGCACATCTATCTTTCTTGTGGACCGCAGGAGAGCCCGGTAGAGGGATAGTGCGGCGATGCGATGCCGCGAGTTGCGGGCTGGGATGAAGGGCTGGCGGTGCATGGTGACGAGTCTGGTGGAGGAGGATGACGGTAGGCTATCGCGGACTGCAGTGCATATGCATGATTACTTATTGCTCTGTGGAGTTTATAGCTGTGGGGTTTCTACTCCAGAATATTGAAGGTGTTGGACGCAAGATGAGGTGGTTAATATTGAGGCGGCGCTCAAAGACGTGGCATCTAAATTGAGATTTGAGATTGAAGTTGTCGTTGAACTGGGACCTGCAGGAGAGTGGACCTTGAGAATGTGAGCAAGCCAAGTACAGTAGTAGTCGAAAAGTGGAGCGGCATCGTCACGGCATTTCCCCGAATGGCATCTGCAGGTCCCGCTGTCTAGGCCAACATGGACGAACATCACGAAGTTGGTTGATGAACGTGGCAGAAGAAAGTAAGGAGTTGCTATGTATTAAGCCGGAATCTCTTCTGTTCAGACGGGCAGCGCTTTCGGATGGCCATGATCACAGACATGGGCAACCCATACCCCTTTCATACTAACTCGTATGTATTGACGCGGTCTTCACATGCGCGGAGACCACCACCGTACTTCTACTTGTGAATGGGAGTGTACAGTCTCTTGCGCGCAGTAGGAGACGATGCAATCTGGCATGGGGATTTGGCTGTAACGGCCACCCACTGCTGGGCTGCATACGACTACAAGCGACGAGCCACGGGCAATAAATAACCAGGTCGACGCAGTCATTGAATCTTATCGGCTAGGCACTTTTCAAAAAAAGATTGGGCTTTTTCTTGTGGAGCGAGTAACCTTAATCGTTCGGCGTTTCCCTCAGTCGCATTGCATCTCCCCATACATTCTGGGATTCCCGCGAGCGGTCAGCACGTACCCAGCCGTATGCCCGAGTTTTTTTTTTTTTTTTTTTTTTTCCTTCTCTGCATTTTAACATCAGAAGCGGGTCCTCCCGCAAGGTTGCGGATTTTCAATCGTGGCTTGCTCACGCGATTCAGACCGACTGATGCAGCCCCACAATCGGTGCTCGGCGTCTCCACGGACAGCCAGGGACGTCTTGGAAGTCCGAGAATAAGCTTAGGAGGAAGTGTGTTGTCCCAGTTTTTTTTTTTTTTTTTTTTTTTGTCC